AAGGGGCTCTAGTGGTAATGGAGGCAAGGCATCAGGTCTTCCTGACCTATGCAAAAATGACTTCATGAATTATTTTTATTTGATCCTTTTGCAGATGGAGAAGTCCAGGCCAAAAAAAAATAGTCTAAAGGAAACAGTTGGCATGCATGCTGCTTCTTAGCCTCCCACCCCCAGGTCTGCATGCCTCTAAGTTCCCACAAGTCTGTACTCCTTGCCTCTGTAATATGCAGAACTTAAAGTTCTCATCTGCAGTTCACTGCACACAACCAGGAGACCAGCGCTCATCTCCCTTTCCCTCTCTTTCTCTTTGTTGGGGCCACATTCACCAATGCTCAGGGCACACTCAGGAATTAACTCCAGGTGGTGCTCAGGGGACCATGTCAGATGGCAGGGATAGAACCTGGGTCAGTTGCTTGTAAGGCAAATGCCCTGCCCACTGTAATGTTGTTCTCCCTTTTTTTTGATTTTTAGATCACACCCATTGGTGCTCCGGGGTTACTACTGGTTTGATCTGCAGGGTTCCCCCCTCCTAGAACTGCTCAGGGGATGATGGTACTGAGGGGCAAACCCAGACCTCCTGCATAAAATATGGCACTGCAGCCCGCTGGGCTCCCTCCACCCTGCCCCCACGTCTCTTTAATTGAAATGTAATTGACATCATATTGTATAAGTTTAAGTTATGCCAAGCTTGGGTTTGGTACATTTCTAGATCGTAATATGATTATTGCCATAGAGTTAGCTAACACCTCCTCCAGTCCCATAATTATCATTTCCTTTTTTTTTCCGTGGTGGGAACAATTAAGTGCAAGTCTCTTAGCAACTTTGAGGTTTATACTATGGTATTGAGACACTAATCACTGTGCTGTGCATTAGCTCTCTAGGATTTGTTTATGTACCGGTTCTGGGTTTGCACCTTTAATGGAGCTCTTTCTTTAAGGTTTTGTCCTTAAATATAGCAACTGATTGCTGGGCCCCTCCCCATATGTGTCTGAGCAACATCTCAAACATACATTAACTCTGGTGGGATTTGTAATCTCTCTAACCTCTTTCTGGACTGCAGCTGCCTCTCCAGGTTGTAAGCCCCACCCACCCTAAGCTGTCAGTCATCCTTGGGTAAGTGTCCCCCTTTGCCTTCAGGGCCTCCCCATGCATGCCCTGGTAATTTCTCCATTCAGCACCTCCCTACCCCAGTATTCCACTGTCCTGCATTCTAGGTGGATCCCACCAGGTACTTTTAACTACTTGAATAGCTTTCTTGCCACTAGGTAGTGTTCTTAATTGCAGTTAAAGCTAAATGCAGTGAGGTTAGTTGTCCTCTAGCTAAAGGGTATTGTCTGTGGAGACAACACAATTTATTTTTTGTTCACTTGCCCCTAAGCCCACACATGGGCAAAGAGGCATCACCATAATTTTTCACATGAGCCAAGCAAGATGAATGAGAAGAATGGACTCGACCTTCACTGTCCAATATGATAGTCACTAGCCACCTGTAGCTGTTGATTGCTTTAAATGTGGCTAGTCTGTAGATTGTAGCGATAGTACAGTGTGTAGGGTGCTTGTCTTGCACACAACCAACCCAGGTTTCATTTTCTTTTTGGGTCACACCCAGCAATGCGCAGGGGTTACTCCTGGCTCATGAATTCAGGAATTACTCCTGGCGGTGCTTGGGACCTTATGGGATGCTGGGAATCGAACACCGGTCTGCTGTGTGCAAGGCAAACACCCTACCTGCTGTGCTATCACTTCAGCCCCCAATGCAGGTTTCATTCCTCCGGCACCACATATGGTGTCCCACTAGTAATGATCCCTGAGCACAGAGCCAGAAGGAAACTCTGAGCACTGCCAGTTGTGGAAGATTCTACTAGTTGTGGAAGATTCCCTCCCCGCCCCACGCCAATAAATATGTCTAGTCAAAATTGAGGTAGAATTTGAGAATACTCTTTTTTTAAAGACCGTACTAAATATTATAAGAGATCACAAATAATTTTAGGGAGGGCAGAGAGCTAATACAGGAGGAAAGGCATTTGAGTTGCATGCAGCTGATCCTGTTTCAAATCCCCAATACCTTAAATGGTCCCTTGGATAGTACTCCAGGGTTCTATCTTGAGTTAAGGAGTCAGGAGTAGCTTCTGAGCACTGCTAGGCATGGACTCCCAAACAAAATGATTTTATAATGTCACAGGTTGAAATCTAACTTATATATGTACTGGTTGAATAAAATGTGTTCTCAAAATTAATTTTATTTTCCCTTTTATTTTTATAAGAACTAAAATTCTGTTATATATGACTTACATTTGTGATTTACATTATATTTGTATGGAACAGAGTTTCACAAAAGTAGCAGATTCCAAATAGGGGGTCTCCAGTTTTAAAAGTGTCCCATAATGAGCTGGAGAAATACAGCAGGTAGGACACTTACCCTGCATGCTGCCAACTGGGTTCCATCTATCACACCACATATGGTCCCTGAAGGCCCATCAAGAAGTCATCCCTGAGAACAGAGCCAGCACTAAGTCCTGAGTAGAGCTGGGTATGGTCACCCCAAATAAATAAGCAAACAAAGTGTCTGAAACACGGTGGTGCCGTCACATCCTAAACACCTAAGCTAAAGCGTTCGTGCTTAATCCATCCTGTCACAGTCACATGGTCAGTTGGTATATGACACATAGAACTTAACAAATTTCTTCCCTTTCCAGTGCCTCTTCCAAAGACTTTATAACTCCATGGTTTGCCTGATTTTTGGTTACACCCAGTGTTGCTCAGGGCTTACTCTAGGCTCTGCATTCAGGGATCACTCCTGGCAGGCTTTGGGCTGAACCATATGGAGTACTGGGGATCAAAAACAGGTTGTCCGTGTGCTAGGCAAGCTTTTCCACCCAGTGGAATATTCCAGCCATATAAATCCATTTTTATCACGAGAGTTCTGAAGCCAGCCTGATGAAAGTTAGAAGATGATAAAGCACAGATACTGCTCCATTCATTACTTAATTTTAAGGTCTACTGTGGGGATCTTTGTGAACCCAACTAACCAAAGACACCTTTCATATCCCAAGGTCTTTTGATTTGAGGAGATTGTAGGAGTATCAGTAGTTTCAGTGGAAGTAATGTGGTTCCTTGCTAGTTTTTCTGATGCATAACTTTTTTATTTATTTGATCATTTTTTTCTCTAGATAGGCTGCATTTGACAGACATTCAACAAATGCTGAGTTTTAGCTTTGTGCAGGGCACTGCTCTAGACTCTAGAGATACTTCAGTGATTAAAACAGGACAAATGTGGCAAACATCTTTGAGACATACCCTAATTAGTACTAATTTATGATGTGCCGAAATCATCTTTGCTCGCTGCTCTGTCAGATATTTTATCACCTTAAAGAACTACTAGACAATATTCTTTCATTTGTTCATTCGTGTTTCTAACTTCTGCCTTAAAAAGGGGGTACGGACTGGAGAGATAGCACAGCGGTAGGGCATTTGCCTTGCACATGGCTGACCCAGGTTCGATTCCCAGCATCATATATGGTTCCCTGAGCACTGCCAGGAGTTACTCCTGAGTGCAGAGCCAGGAGTAACCCCTGTGCATTGCCGGGTGTGACCCAAAAAGCAAAAAAAAGGGGGGGTGCATGTATACGTGTGGTGTATGTGTGTAACAGCAGCTCAGTGGTGTGTTTTCACATGAATAGTTTCTCTTGATCTGCATTGGGCAAGCCATGTTTTCCTCCAGGAAACTTAAGCATGTAAGTTGTTCCTTAACTGATTGGATGTGACTTGACTGTTGCAATGATGATTGTTTTAGAAACTGGTTTTAATTAAGGAATTATAAATCCTTAGCCTATGATACTAAGTACTTTGGTACTCAATTGTAAGTAATTCCAGGTGAAAAACATTAGGTGTGAAAATAAAAATGTTACTGACAACCAGGCAAGCCCAGAGAGCCTAGGTGTGCAGGCTTCTCCACAACAGAGGTTTATATACTGACTGATTTTCTTTTTTTGAAATAGATTTTATTTGGAGGATTTTTAAGGTGTGGAAGGGGAGAGAGTAATGTACCCAAGAGAGTACCCAAGAGAGAACACGGGCTTCTTCAAGGGCGGAGAGAGCCCCTACACACATCCTAACAGTAGACACGAAAGCATTGAGTACGCATTGAGAGTACACATCTCAAGAGCCGAGATGCGGGTGATACATGTGCTTGGCCACGTGGGTGCAAGCTGCGCATATGCACTGACCGATTTTTTTGTTTTCGGTGACTTTGATCTATGGATTTTAATGTTTTATCTCAGATGTCAACAATTCATGAAAGTACTTTCAGCTGGGTGCCAGGGCCCATTTTTTTCCTCCAGAATTCTACCCACCTTTTCTAAAACTCACTGTATCTTTATACTTCCCTTTGAAGGAATTTGCAGACTAGTTTCCTATCTGGGTTCCTGTGACCCTCACATCCGATAATGTAGGAAGGGAACGTTAGGCCATCACTACAACATTTTACCAGCTCTCTCCTTGTTCTTACTATTCTCTGATAAGAAATCCATATTAAGTGTTTAGTATTTAAACTTACCTACATATGCAAGCATTTTTTTTTCAAAGAAAAACCATTTTGTCGTTAGCATTAGCATTGTCTGATTTTTCTTTTCTCTTTTTGGAGGGATGGGAGATGAGGTTTAGGCCACACAAGGTGGTATTCTGTGTTTAGGGATCACTTCTGGCAGTGCTGGGAGACCTCATGTGGTGCTTGGGATCAATCTCAGTGACCCGCAAGGCAATTCCTTAAAGGTTAACATGCTGTACTATCTCCCAGTCCCTAGATTTTTTATTTTCTAAAGAGAAGTTATTAAGTTACCTTACAAGTTTCAGGGTTCTAGAAAGTGGAATATCTTGCATAGCATTTCACCTGATTTGACTTTGAAGTCCAATTGAGGAAGAATTTTGGTTGCTGAATGACTGTATACACCTTCGCTCTTTTTACTTGTATTTTCACCCAAATATTGCAATATATTTTTCAGGTTTTCAATTCAAAAACCGCCGAACTGCTTAGTCATCATCAAGTAGAAATAAAACAAGAGTTCCCAAAGGAAGGGTATGTAAATCATTAGTATAAAAACTTCATCACGTTTCTTAGTCTGTCTCAAACCACGTGCCCTATGATTTCTTAAAGTAAATGTGCCGAAACAGTCTTCTGAAAAAGGCCTGAAGGATAGGCATTAGTGAAAAAAGAAGTAATTGATACCTTGGTAGCTCAGCAAAAAGATGTGGGTAAATGGTGGCCAGGAATTCTCTCAGCAAAAATGAGGGAATGAGAAGGTAATGAAGCAAATGTAGGAGTATTAAATATTAAAAACTCAGCATTGAATTTGCAGTCATTTTGTTCTGTCTCCATCGTCAGACTACTGCTTTGCTAATTTGAATGTTAAGATTCTTTTGCTTACATTAGAATGTATTTTTTAAATCACTATCTTATCTCCAGTGATTCTTTTTGAATAATATAATGGTCATAATTAAATATAATGTTAAGTTTATTATTAAAAGATCAGTTATTTTTTGGGGGGGACAGACCCATTGATACTCAGTGGTTACTCCTGACTCTGTGCTCAGGAATTAATCCTGGTAGTACTTGGGATTGGGGAGACTATCTGGGATGCCTGGAATTGAACCCACATCAGCCGCATGCAAAGCAAGCACCCTACCTGCTGTACTATCTCTCCAGTCCCATAAGGTTCAATAATATTTATGGTAGAAGCACTTTAAATAAATTATTTTAATTAAATTAATATACCACTCATTAATGTATAGGAACTATGAAAATATGTCAGTAAAATATTTATACTTGACTGTTTATAAATACTTCATAATAGCCCAAATCTTGAAACAACCCTAATGCCTCTCATCCATAGAATGAATCACATTGAAGGATATTCAGTAACTTTTAAAAAAACGATATATGGAATATGCATGTGTCTCACTAATAATGGAAAGTGGGGAAAAAATTGCCCATGGTTCTCATTCTACTAAATTTAATTCTATGTTTAATTCTAAAATTAATTATAAAAATTAATTGTATATTTGATGTAATCTAATTCTGTTTTTATTTTAAAACCTGACTACACGAGTATAGGAAGCTAGAAATCAGAAAAATAGCTCCCTTTGGGGTGTATGATTGATGTGAAAAAGACATAAAAAGACTTTCTGGAATGAGGAAATCTTTTAAGTGGGATGTTGTTTTATTGTTTTCTTTCAAATTCCTTCGTTTCATAATAAAAGCTTTTGCTATGTTACCAGCCTATGAATGACTGTCTGCAGCCTGATCTCATTGCAGTTTGAAGAAAGGATACCTGGGTCTTGGAGGAAGGAAAATAAGAAATATGTGGAAAAGATTGGGTTAAGAGACAAGTCCAAGCTCAGGAAAGGGAAGTATTTAGCCAGGCAGGCCTGATTAAGGCAGAGAAGAAAGCCAATAGGAAATAAATCTTTTGATAATTCCAGATGCTAAGTTAGGGTACTTTTAGGTTGTTTTGTTTCTACTTTCTTATTTGTTCACTTTTGGGTTTTTTTTTGGGGGGGCACACCCAGTAGTTCTGGGGAGCTACTTCTAGCTTTGTGCTTTGGGGTTCCCTGTTGGGGTACTGGAGATCAAATGGGTTGGTCACATGCAAGGGGCCCTGTGCTCTCTCTGGCTCTTATTTATACTTTTGAATTTCCTCTCATTGCTGTTTGTTTCTTCTACGTTTCTTTTTTGGTCACTTATTATAGACTTTCCCTCTACTGAGGCCCAAGTGCCTCACCAAAATTGTATTAGGATTTGACATGAAAATTTGGACTAAAATCGTCTTTTACATGAAATAGTTGTTGAAACTTTTTGGGGGGGTCACATCCAGCTGTGCTCTTGGGTTATTGGCTTTGTGTTCAAGTCACTCCTAATAGGGCTCAGAGGACCATATGTAGTGCCAGGATCAAACCCAGAGCAGCGGTACGTAAAGAAAGAGCCTTATCTACTGTACTAGAACAAATTTCATTTTTTCCCCCAAATTCTAACACAATGGGAGGAAATAACAAAATAAATCAGTATGCTTATTTGACTTTATAGGATTTCTTTGGATAAGTAAGTATAATATCTGAATATGAAAAACCTAAAATATGTAAAATATGTAGATTAATACATTTATTTAGTAAAAACAAAGACTACTGATACTTATATATAGTTTATTAATACTGATCAAACCCACATGAGGCTATAAACAATTTGGAAACTAACTTATTGGAATTGAAAAAAATATTTTAAAGTAGATAGACTATTTGCTGCTTGAGGCCTATTATTATTTAATTTTAAATGATTAGTATGTGAAGGATAGTAAAAATGTAAGAGGACTGGATTTTAATCATTTATTTAGAATGTTAGATAAGTTTTAGTTTATTTGACTTCGTTTAATTTATGTACCAGCCATACTCTTAGAAACGATAATTTCTAAGGAAATTGGTTACATTGGTATTGATTTCTTGTGTACTAACTAAATATATTCTTTTATTCAAAGATGGGTGGAACAAGATCCTAAGGAAATTCTTCAGTCTGTCTACGAATGTATAGAGAAAACGTGTGAGAAACTCGGACAGCTCAATATTGACATTTCCAACATAAAAGGTATTTTAAATAGACTTTGTGATGTGATTCTCATAGACATGATCATTTGTTCACTCAGCACATATTTAAAATTTTGTACCATAGTAAGCATTTCTCTGAGAACCAAGGATGTTCTCATGAAGGGTTTATAAAGTTTTTTTTTTTTTTTTTTTTTTGGTGGGCCTGAAACCAACAAAAGGAATAGACACATAAGGTAATTTCAGGAGAATGTTAAGTCACATGCAGAAAACTAAATCTGAGTTATGTGATGAGTATGCTTATGGGAATTTACTTTTTTACGTAGGAGTACTGCTATTTATTCAGCCACTGATTAGGCTGATTGAATTTGGCATGAACTCCACCGGAACTTACTTTTAAATGAAAATATTTTGATTTTTGGGTCTTGGGCCATACTTGTCTATGCTCAGGCCTTACTCCTGGCTCTGTATTTTAGGGATCACTTCCGGCGGACTTGGGAACCATAAAGGGTGCCAGGGATTGAACCCTGGTCCAACTGTGTGTAAGGCAAGCACCCTATCTACTGTGCTGCCTTTCTGTCCCCCATCCCCCCAGGGGCTTATGTTAGATTGGGTGGCTAAAGAGGGATTCTGTGAAGAGGTGACATTTCTGCTGAGTATTCAAAGGCCAGGAAGGGCAAAGGGAGCAAATGCCTGAGGAAAGAATATTTGAAGAATAAAGCGGCATATATCCTTGTCCTTAAGCTGGGACGAGTACACTTACTAGCTCCTGAATCAGAAGAAAGTTAGCATTTTAAGAGGAGAGTGAAAGAGGATGGTGAGGGATTTCAGGAAGAGCTGAAATCACGGAAGTGAATAGGGCCTTGTCAGGTGTAGTTTGGCATTTGGATGCGATTCTTAGTGCAACTGGGAGCCTAGAGATGGTTTTAAGCAAGGCTATAGGGGATATGATGGTTTCCAATAGAATTTATTTATTTATTTATTTATTTTTCTTTTTGGGTCATACCTGGTGATGCACACGGGTTGCTCCTGGTTTTACACTCAGGAATCACCCCTGGAAGCGCTCAGGGGACCATACGGGATGCTGGGTATCGAACCCAGGTTGCCCGCATGCAAGGCAAGCACCCTACCCACTGTGCTATTGCTACAGCCCCTCCAATTGAATTTAAAGACATCTTTCTGACTAAATGTAGAGAGAGGGAGCCACTGAAGGGGCCACCATTGAAATCCTTGGATGAGTGAGCAGTGGCTTGACAGATACTGGTTGCTGTAGAAGTGGAAGGAAAAATTCAAAGTTGGTGATGGATTGATTGTGCATCTTGGTAACAGAGTGATGTGGGGCTGGGGGCAACAGGTGTCCAAGACAAGGAATGGGGGTTTTTCAGAAGCTCCTAGGTAAGATGAGGGATGCTTTTTACTAGGAAAGACTAGAAAAATAACATGGGATTATTTGGAATCAAAACACTTGCAGATATCATCGTGGCAAGTATTAGATTACTACAGGTCTCGGAATGCCTATCATTTTATTTTAGTAGGATATCTAAATTTGACTTTTCATCAATTTTACAGGGCTGGAGCAATAGCACAGCGGGTATGGTGTTTGCCTTGCATGTGGCCAACATGGCCGACCTGAGTTTGATCGAGTTCGATTCCTCTGCCCCTCTCAGAGAGCCTGGCAAGCTACTGAGAGTATCTTGCCCACAAGGCAAAGCCTGGCAAGCTACCCGTGATGTATTCGATATGCAAAAACACAGTAACAATTGTCACAATGGAGACGTTACTGGGCCCACTCAGCAAATCAACGAACAACTGGAGAACAGTGACAGTGACATCAATTTTACAGGAAATAAAGGATAATACAGTCATCTAAGATCACTGTTAGGGTGAAATCTACTGTGGTAATTGTCGTCTTTTTATAGTTAAGAATTTACAAGTTCATCATACGAGGGCAATTTTCATCTTCCTTAGTTTGGCTTTAGATTAGATAATCCATCTTAAATAAACCAGCAACTGTTGTGGGAAGGAAGTACCTTGATATACATCTTGGCTTGCAGGCTTACCTTCAATCCTGCATTGAACCTGTTTTTTCTATTTATATAAATAAGGTAGTACTGTAGCACTGTTCCTCCCGTTGTTCATCGATTTGCTCGAGCGGGCCCAGTAACATCTCCATTGTGAGACTTGTTGTTACTGTTTTGGGCATATTGAATATGCAACGGGGAGCTTGCCAGGTTCTGCCGTGTGGGTGGGATACTCTCGTAGCTTGCCGGGCTCTCCGAGAGGGTCAGAGGAAGCGAACCTGGGCCAACCGGGTCTGTCGTATGTAAGGCAAATGTCTTACCCACTGTACCATCGCTCTAGCCCTATTAAAAAGACTACTCACAATCACATCATTCAGCATAGGAATAATGATATGACATAATTGCGAGGTGTGCTAAAGTTGTGTGAGTAACAATCACATTATTCATCTAGGGTCACAAGTGAATGTGAAATTGTAGAAGTGAGATGGTTGTTCTATCATTTCAGTTTCTTTAAAAATATTAGTTGTTGTTTTTGGGCCATGCTCATAAACTAGTCCTGACTCTGCACTTGCCAGTCAATCCTTATGGTTCTTGGATGATATGGCATGCCAGGGATCAAACCTGAGTTGACAACAGCATGTAAGGCAAGCACCCTACCCATTGTACTAATTACTCTGGCCTCATATTGTAGATTTTAAGAAGAGAAAGACAATCCCATATGATTTGGTAGTTCATTATCAGCTTCTTCATATCAGACCATTTATTTCTAACTCTAAAGTAGAAGTACTTCAAACTTCTTTCAGAGTTGCACACACCAATTTTTAGAAGTTCCATGGCAGAGTAATTGCTCTTTCCTGGAGCTGTTCTTTCAGCTTTAACAACCTAAACAGCAGGAACATACTAAGTGGCACTCAGTAGCACACTCTTTGGTCAAAACATCCATTGCCAAGGACACAAATAGTTTATGTTCTAGACTAGAATAGTCTAGCCATGCATAGAGTGTAGTTTCTGTAATAACTAATTTTGACATAATTTCTGCCTCTTACAGGTAAGGTAGACTGCAGTGTGGTGGCTTTCTGGACCTACTCAGTTTCTACTTATTTTTCTTCTGTTTTGTGGTGTCTGTACGGTAGACCCACAGGTTCTATCCTGACTTCTACTCATACTATATGGTCTGTAAGACTAATGAGCACAGATCTCTTCTCTTCACTTCTCTCTACCTGATTATTAGGAAACCTGTACCTGCGTCAAGGTGACCTAGCACGTTCTTGCCAACAACTGGCGTCCTCTGAGCCAGGATGAGAACATTCCATAAATTCTGATAAACCAGAGCAGGAGTGCTGAAATTTTTCCCAGATAATTTGTTGAGTTGGTACTGCCAAGGGCCAAGCTTTTATTTTGTTATAGAGCACTGACTGCTAATGCTGAGGAAATAAAGTGAAAATGGGCCCACAGGGGCTGGAGCGATAGCATAGCAGGGAGGTTGTTTGCCATGTACGTGGCCGACCCGGGTTCGATTCCCAGCATCCCATATGGTCCCCTGAGCACCTCCAGGAGTGATGCCTGAGTGCAAAGCAGGAGAAACCCCCCAATCATCACCAGGCGTGACCCAAAATGAAAAAACAAAAAGAACCACAAATAATGGGGGGCACTGTGAGAAAAATATTGAGAAACAATCTGCAAGGAATTTTTCATCATCTAGTCTTAGTTATAAATGAAAGGGATTTATCACTGGTTAGATACCATTGAAGCCCGTTCCCCCCTTACATCCTTTTTACTTGAGCATACTGATAACCCCACAAACCACGTCAACTTTTACTTCCAAGAGCTTTTTCCTCCAAAGAGTGATTCATTTTTACTTTTATCTGGTCAACCTTAACAGAGTTATTCATAGCCGGTAGATCTTTCAAGAAATTCCAATTCATGTGCTTAGGTGACAGAGTAGAAACCCTGGCAAGCACATGTGCAAACACTGAGTATTGGGGCCAAGTGTTTGAGCACTTATTCGTGATGTTCGATTCAAACTGTCCTTATCCATTGGAAAGCTGGTTGAATAGAAGCCCGTGAGCAGCAGTGCTTCTAAACTTCACAAGAGGCCAAGCTAAATTTAACAGGCTGCTGCGTTTCTAGTGGGTTTAAAGAGGGTAGGTCAGTTCTTGGCTGGGAGGAACTACAAAATACCAAGAATACTACATTCTCTGCTCCATCCTTTCACATGTGATTCAAGGAAATTGCAACACAAGTGTGCAAAGCTGAGTTATCAATTTCTCCATTATTACTACTTTGTTTACCAAAAGTAGTTATCTCGGTGTTAGAGAAAAGGGGAGCCCCAACATTCCTTCCTTGTCCGCTTTTTCTAACCCAATAAATTCAGACTTCTTTTCTCAGGGTTCTCAGAAAAGCACCCGTACCCCAGGTAGCTTTGGAGTGGGATCCACATCTCATTTGCGATCGTTATAAGGGAGTGTAAGCTTTCATAGAGGAGGTTTTCTTTGTCTTTATTTTTTTCATGTTTTTTGGTTCACCCCTGACAGTGCTCATATGTGAGATGCCAGGATTTGAATAATTATTAGGGCTGTAGCCTTCTGTAAGGCTAATGTCTTAAACTTAGTGTTATCAATGACTACTCAAAAAAACCTATCGATGGGGCTGGAGAAATAGCACAGCGGGTAGGGCCTTTGCCTTGCACACGGCCGACCCGGGTTCGATTCCCAGCATCCCATATGGTCCCCTAAGCACCGCCAGGAGTAACCCCTGTGCATTGCCAGTGTGACCCAAAAAGAAAAAAAAACAAAAAACCCATATCAGTTCACACAAGGCAATTTTTTTGACGGGTTTATGGTTTTGGGTCACACCAGCAAGTGTTCAGGGGCTATACCTGGCTCTGTGGTCAGGAGTAAACCTTGCTGGTGCCCAGCAAGCATATGTGGCTCAAGGATTTTTTTACCCCCAATTACAACTAACTTCTTTTTTTTAATTGAATCAGTGTGAGATAGACCCTCACAAAGCTGTTCATGATTAG